CCCCCCCCCCCCCCCCCCCCCCCCCCCCCCCCCCGGGGTGAAGAGGAGGCCCCGATTTGCAGCTGTGCCACCCACACCTCCAGGGGCAGCCAGAAGCCCCAGGGCCAGGGTGGCTCCGTGGGTCTGCACTGCCCAGCCCCCTGCAAGCCTGAGCCAGGGGAGACACCAGAGGCCTGCCCAGGAGATCCGGTCACACTTCTCTGCTTTACGCCTTAGCCAACTAGTGACAAGGAAAACCAGACAATGCCCATGTGTTTTGGAACATTTATGTAAGATTGTCATATGAAATGTATTTGGGAACTACATTAAAACTTTTAACTAAAACCCCAGCCTCCTGCATGCCCCAGGGGCCTCAGGAAGCCAGACAGCCCAGCCAGGAACAGCTTACGCCTCACAGGGAGAGGTGCCCAAGTAGCCTGGCTGCCCGAGCACCCCTGCCCTGCCTCGCACTCCACACCTGGGCAGGAGTCCAAACTGCCTTCCAAGACTGGCCTCCATGTGGAGCCTCCACTCGGACCTGCTGTTTGCTCCCCCCTCAGGGGTCACCTGGCTCTCTACGGGATCCACAGGGGAGGGAGTGAGGGTACCTGCAGTGACTGGGGCCTTGGTCAACAAGCGGCCTAAGGGCCGCTTTCCCTGGGGTCCAGAGCCAGTGACCTTTGGAACTTTTGTCCCACGTCTGCCTGGTGGCCCAGCAGGAGGCCTGGTCTCACCAATTCCTCAGGCTCAGTTCTCACGGATTCCACTCCCACTCAAATCCCACTCGTGTCCCTGCTGGGGCTGTCTGGGGAGGGGCCGGCTCAGGCAGGTGGGAGGGGTCCTCGGCTCTGGGCACCAGCTGAGCGAGGGCAGTCTGCTCACAGCTGCCACGCACTGGTCATCATGGCCACAAACTCTTCATCTGTGTCCACGGAGGCACTGAGGCCACTGTAGTAGTCCTGGAATTCTGCCAGCGTGACCTGTGGGCAGACAGGCTGTGACTGGGGGGCCAAGGCTGGACACCACCTTGGGGGGAGGAGAGCCCTGCGTGGGCATCCACCCACCTGCCCGTCCTTCTCGGAGGAGTCGAAGGTGTCCAGGAAGCAGCGGAGCACATCGTCCTCCTGCCACTCCCCACTCTGCACCTTGGGGTGGGCACGACCACTGTACACTCCACGGAGGTCGTCCACAGTCACCACGCCATCCCCGCTGCGGTCCAGCTTGGCAAAGGCAGCCGCAATGACTGCCTCCCGGGCCTGGGACATGGGGGGCTGGGGGAGGGGTTGGTGGTGACTGGAGGCAGAGGGTAGGGTGTCCCCAGCACACCCCTCCCCCAAGATTGTCAGGACAGGATGTCACCCCTGATGGGCGCTTCCTGATAGCAATCCTTAGGGGTGAGTCAGCCTCCCTGACTCTTGTGTCCTTGGATACCCAGAAGTGGGCCTCACCCTCAGGGCCCGCAGAAACTCCTCCAGGTCCAGTGTCCCGCTGCCATCGCGGTCCCAGCGCTTGCACACACCCTCTGCTTCGGCCTCATCCAGCAACATCCCCAATTCTGCCAGGCCCCGCCGGAGCTCCCTGGCATCCAGCACTCGGCTCCCATCCTGGTCCAGGCGACGGAAAAACCTGGGGTGGGGGGGTGGTTATGGTTGGATGGCAGGCAACCCCAGGGCTGGAGTCTGGAAGGTTTGCAGAAGACCCCGTCACCTGGCCAAGCTCCGGATGCCTGAGACCCCTCGGGACAGGCACTGTGCCCGCAGCCTCTCCACAGTGGCATCCACGGCATCCATTCTGGGTCGGGTCTGTGGGCACTTGGGACTTCCCACCCAGCTAGCCAGGCACAGGCTTCAAGCTGCCAACCAACCCACACTTGCTTGGCTGGCCTGTGTCTGTCCCCAAGTCCTGCTGACTTTGCTCTGTGTTAGGTCTGCGTCCTGCCTGGCAAGACCGTTGCTAAGGGTGGTGGCTCTGGAGACTGGGAGGGGCCCAGCTGTTAACTCTCCACGTGCTGAGGCTGATGGCGGTGCTGAGAGATCTGCTCACTCACTCGCAACCCCAAGAGGTCCAGGCCTGGGCTACAGCCAGGCCCAGACAAGCAGGGACTCTTGCTGGTCACAGGGAAGAGAGAGAGGCTACAGCCCAGGGGAATAGGCAGTCCTGGGCAGAGAGAAGACCTGATTGCTGTGTGGCCCCGGGCAAGTCCCTTTCCCTCTCAGGGATTTACTGGGCAGCTCAGCCAAAGCAAAGCCAGGGTTGATGAAACTGCTAAAAGATTAAAGTTCAAAAGAACTCAAGGTCCTGGGGCCCCAGGAACTGCCCAGGCCCATGTCCAACAGGAGGTCTTCAGAGTCGGTGAATGCTGAGCTGAGAGCGAACTTTTAGAGATGTCACCACATCGTGACAAAGCTGTTTCTGGTAGATTTATGAACCAGTTACAGTATTTTGTCATTACAGATCTTTTTGTGGGTTGCTTTTTGGTCCTCAAACCAAACCTCTCCATTTGGACCAAATGGAGAAGTGACCCTGGGCTCTGCCAAGCTAGAGGCCTTCTATGGGTCATGAATGCCAGCTGAGGTGACAGGACCTCCTGGGACTGAAGGCACGGGGACCTGCCACCTGCACGGACCAGGGCATCAGAGGAGAATTTCCAAAACAGGGCCACCTCTCACATACCATCATGCCATACTGCTGGAAGTGACCCCAGGGCGAAGAAACAACCCAGATTACAAGCCACCCTGTGCCATGACTTGGTGGTTGACAAGAAACTTAAGTGACATCTCACTGCACAAATTCAGAAGGCTACTGCAGCCCAAAATTCTTGAGTGGGCAGAGATGAATTTCTTTTAAATGAGTGTTACATGCCGCAATTTTCTTCTGTAAAAAATGAAAATATAATCAATTTTTATAATTGTTTTGGGTTTTTTATTTTTGCATTGGGGGTGGAATACAGGGTCCCCCACAAGCTAGGTATACGCTGGACTACGCCCCCGGAAATTTTCACTTTTTTAAAAACACGATGCCAGGCTGGGAGTGCAGCTCAGTGCCGGAGCCCTTGCCCAGTGTGGGGGGCTCTGGGCACCCTCCCCAGCCCCACAGAAAATAGAGAATTCCAGCAACCTCCCAGCACGGGACGCTGCCCTGGCCTTGCGGAACTGGAGGCCGGGCGGCTTTACTTGGAGGCCTCTGCCCACAGCTGTGAGAAGGGGACAAGTCTGGTGTCGACGTGTGCTGTCCAGATTAGACAACTGTGGCACCAGCTCCCTGCACTGGAACTCCTGTCTCCAAAGCCCGCAGGACCCCAACCAGGATCACGCACAACACGCAGGGCCAGCTCTCCTGCCCACGCCAGGGAGAGGATGAAGGGCCCAGCAGAGAAAGCAAGACGGTTTATGCTTGAGGGCAGACAGTCCCCAGCCTGCTTCCCTTTGTGCAAACAGCAGCTCCCTTGTTCATCCAGAGAGGAAAATGGGGCCATTGTCACTGCACTGAGAGTCACTGTTGGATGCAGGCAGGAAGGCGGCACCATCCCAGGGCTGTGAATGACCGCCCGTTGAAACAGTCCCTGTTCTTGGGCACTTGCTGGCATGACAATTCCCTGAGTATGGAGCCTTGAAGGCGGCCCGCCAGGCAGGGAGCGGGAGGTACAGGGCCTGAGTCCCCTCCTTGGTTTGATAAAGAGCAAAGTTCCCTGAGTGCCTTGGGCGGCAAGGACAGCTAGACACAAGGAGTTAAAAAACAGTGTCTCTGCACGCTGCCACACAAGCTTGGCTGGCCCTGGGGAGGGGCTCCCTCAGGGCTCACAGGACCATCCCTGTCCCTGAGGGGGGCTCTGAGAAATGTCAGGCACTGGTGACAAACAGAACAAGAGACAAAAACCCTGCTGTCAAAGAGTTGACGCTACTGGTGAGATAGTGTGACACTCCATAAAGAGAATGGCATGGAATGATGGTGGGCAGGGCTGGCAGGGTAAAGGAGGGACTACTCCAAGTAAGATGGTCACAGAAGGCCTCTTGGAGGTAATATCTGAGCAAAGACCTGAGTGACAAGGAGCCAATCATGTGGCAATCTGGGGGGGGAAAGTTATAGGAAGAGAGAAGAGCCCGCGTGCAGGTCCCAGGCAGCGCACCCTGAGGAAAGCATCTCGGCTGTCACCCCTGCCTGCTCATCCTTTGGGAGTAAATGTGGAGGAAAGGTCAGAGTTAGGGGACAGAGATCTAGGATAGAAATGTGTCATCACATGGTCAATGCAGATTGGCATGAGGCTTCCAGCCCCTAGCTGTGGTCCAAGGTCAAAAGCTAAGAAACACTTTAGGGTGTGTCAGGAGGAACAGTATCAAGGCCAAGGACAACAAATCTTGTGGAACTTGATGCCATCTGTCTCCACCAGACAGATGTCTCAAATTCAGATGCTTCCAGGGCCAGGTCAACAGCCTCAGAGGTGAGGGCACCAATAGAACTCACCCTGGATAAAAGGGTACCCTGGACTCAGAGCCAGACGAGACCAGCCAGGTCTGAAGCCAGATATCCAGCTTCTCTGGAAGCATCACCAGTTGTTCAACAAGAGGATGGATTCAAAGTTTTGTCATTTGTTTTAACTTGTCAGATTAAACATGTGTATTTGGCCTATGGGCCCAATTGGAAACTTGGCCTTTTTAGATTGCTCTGATGTTTGGAAAGGGTCGTGGCTCTGCCCCTTGACACAGGTGGAAATCCCCAAAGGAGCCTTCTGCTTTCATTCTGGAATCTGCTCTGAGGCTCACACTGTGGTCCCAAACATCGTAGGCTGGGGGTGGTCCTGGTCCACCTTCTCACCAGTGCTGTTGGCAAGGGGTGGGCCAGGCCCACTGGGGAGTAGATGGCCTGGGTCACTGGCTGGCAAGGGCCCCAGACGCTCGGCCTCAGCCAGGTCAGCCAGCAGTGCGACCAGGGGTGGCCGCCGGCGACAAATGTCCTGTAGCAGCTTGGCCCGTGGCTGCAACTGCTGGATGAGTTCATCCCTCTGGCGCACAGCAGCCTGCAGGCTGTGGATGGCGGCCTCGGAGGTCAGCAGCTGCTCCTGGAGAGCGGCAATCTCACTGCAGGAAGGCAAAGCGGGGCAGTTAGGATGGTGGGAGAGCAGAGGGGCAGCTCCCCCCTGCTCCCAGCCCTCCCACAGCTCCCCATGGCTGTCCCCACCACTGCCTCCAGGCCCCTCTCAGTTACTGACTCTGTGTCTCCACCCAGTTCATGTGATAGAGCCCTAAATCCCCACCCACAAGATGGAGGCTTTGTGGGGCTGGGGATGTGGCTCAAGCGGTAGCGCGCTGGCCTGGCGTGCGTGAGGCCCGGGTTCGATCCTCCGCACCACATACAAACAAAGATGTTGTGTCCGCCGAAAACTAAAAAATAAATATTAAAATTCTCTCTCTCTCTCTCTTTAAAAAAAAAAAAAAAAGATGGAGGCTTTGGGAGGTAATTAGGGTTAAATGAAGTCTGAGGTTGTGATCCCATGACAGAATTAGTGTCCTTATAAGAAGAGGCACCAGAGAGCTTGCTCGGTCTCTGTGCCACCAAGAACAAGCAACAGGTGGAAGTCTGCAAGCCAGGGTACTTTCACCAGAACCCAACCAACTGGCACCCTGATTGCATACTTCCAGCTTCCAGAACTGTGAGAAATAAACCTTGTTTTCTGAGATGCCAGCCATACTGCTTTGTTATGGCAGCCAAGCCACAACAGCTCACCACTCCCCATCTTTCTGCAGTTCCTGATCCTCAACATCTTTTCCCATTTCTCATGTTTTGATGGCTCCTCCAGGAAGCCTCCCTTTGGGTCCCTGAGATTGTGTGATCTGCCCCCTCCTATCACAAACCTTGATCATCCCATGATATAACCACCCAATGATATGTCTCTCTCTCACCAATGTGCTCCAGACCCAGCCCAGCACCTGGCACATATCAGGTGCTCATTAAAACAAATGGATGAATCCAATGAGCTCTGAATTCCTTGTTCCGCATCTGGACCCCAGGTCCTCCCTCCTCCCTGGGTACTTGTCTCATCTCTTTCAATCTTCAGCTGCCAAAAGGAACTCTTCAAAAATGCTGATATGATCATATCTTCCCCTGCTCAAGAAACTGCCATGGCTCCCAGTGCCGACACCAGGGAGTAGGTGCTCCCTGTGCCAGTCAGTACCCGCTGATCTTGCCTTGTGGGAAAAATAGGCTATTTGAAGTTACAAATTCACACGTATATCTTCATTTACATCCTGAGGACTAATCCGAGTTTTGCTTTGTGTTTTTCTTTTCTTTTTTTTTTTCTTCCTCCAATCCCATTAGCAGTCCAGCCCCCACGTGAATTCACAGGGTTCCTACTCTTCTTCCCGGTCCAATCTCATCTCTGCCTCCGCCCACCTCCTCTGGGAAGTCACCTGGCCGGATCCCAGTCTCACCGGTCTTTGGCGTGGCCCAGCTCGTCCAGGGCGGCGCGCAACTGCTGATCTTGGAGGGTCAGGCGCTCTGCTTGGGCGCTCACCGTGCGCTCCGCGGCCTCTAGCCGCGCCTCCAGCTCCGCCGCGCGCCGGTGAACCGCAGCCAGGTGTGCGTTCGCCTCGCGAATCTGCAACGCGGGCGGCGCGGACATGGCCCTGCCGCGGTCCAGGCCGGACACGCCCCCGGGCGGCCCGGAACAGGCAGCCACGCCCCAAAGTGGGCCACACCCCCTCAGGGCCTTAGCACGATTGGCAGGAGCCCTTCTCTAGGCCCCGCCTCCGGAGCTGGGCTGTGCGTCTCTGGAAACCGAACGCCCTCACTGATTCAAGCATCTTGAAAGTCCGCCCTTAAGCCTAGCCTAAGATTGGTCAAGATCTTGACAGAACACGCCCCCGTGTAGGCCTGGTCCAGGGGCAATTCGTTCAGCTCACGGGATTGGTCGAATTTTCCAGACAAGCCCCGCCCTACTTAGAAAGTGACACCCGGAATGGTCCGGAACTCTCGGCCGCGGCAGGCACCAGCGCGCCCGCCGGAACAGGCTGCTTTCCTCTGGGGCCCACACCATTGGCCACGTCTCTGTCAGGGGCAGTCCAAGAACAGACGCGCTTTAGGCTAACATAAGCTGCTCTTTTCTTTCTTCTTTTCTAACTTTATGTCAACTGTATTTTTATCTTTTTCCTTTTCTTGATGTTTCTGTGTGCTAATCAGTTATACATGACAGTAGAGTGCATTTTGACACATCACACATAAATGGAGTGTGACTTCCTTTCTACATGACGGAGAGTCACGGCCGCGTAATCATATATGCACATAGGGTGATGATGTTCTTTCTACTATCCCCCTACCCCACAACCCCTTCCCCTCCTTCACGCTCCTCCGTCTAACCCAAGGACCTCTACCTTCCGAGCGCCACCCCCGCTCCCTTCCTGGGAATTAGCAGCCGCAGATCAGAAACAACCGCGCGGGGTTGGTCAAACCCCTCCGGGTTATTCCTTCGTTTTGGGCCACGCCCTCAAACCGAGACATACTTCTTCCTACACGGTTCGGGCACAGAACGCTTCCCACTAAGATCCCAGAATTGGTCACGTTTCCATTAAACTTCGCCTCTATCCTGGCCACATCCTAAAGTTTAGTGGCACCCGGTTCAGACTCCTGTTTGGATATTGGTCACAGGGCATGACAACGTCCCATACAGATTCGGGCGCTAAGAGGGGCCACATACCTAGTCCGTACGTGGCGGTAGACCTAGCTCCCGTCAGTCTGCCCTGTAGAACAGACCCCACCTTCAGTAGTAAACCGTCCCTAACCTAGGACTCCCTGAGCCGGGACTAGCTCCCCCTCTGTCAATCGACCCTGCGTACTCGTGCTTCCTTAGGCCAGGCCCGCCCCCCTACGCATGCGCGCGACCCGTGTGCATGTCCGCGGAGCTCAATAAAGTTGCGCGCTTGTTGCCGGCCCCTCGGTCAGGGAGGTTGCGCGCACTTCCCCAGGAAGTCTCGCGAGAGTCGGCAGCAGCTGCCCTTGGGAGCGCGGAGCCCGCGGGGTCGGCGGTGTGGGCTCGGGGCTGCGCGGCCATGGCTCCGAGTCTTCTTCGACAGTTCTTGGACATCCCCGACGGCACCGAGTGCCACCGCAAAGCCTACGCCAGCACCGGTATCGGCGGCGCAGTGGGTGAGCGCCGGCCGGCCCCGGCAGCGGAGCGCGAGGGCGCAGGAGGTCACGGGGCCGCGGCGCCGCCCGAGGGTCCTGCGCGCCGGGCTCCCGCGGCCGCGCGGCTGGGGGACCTGGCGGGGTCGGAGGGCCCCGGGAGGTCGTGGCTCAGGTGACAAGCCGGGCACGGGGACCGCGGGCGAGGCGGGAGGGGTTGGTGGAGCCTTCTCCAGGCTCCGGGAGGCTGCGCAGTGAGACCGGGAGGGCTTCGAGGTCCCCTGTGAGACTCCATCGCGGGGCAGCCTTGAAGGGACTCGAGGAGGTCGTCACTGCGGTGTCGGGAGCGGTCCCAGAAGCCTGAGGACGCTCCGGGGTGCGATGAGGTCTTTGTAGGGTCAGGTGTGCCCGGGGCTTCTGATGGGGCCACCAGTGGGATCCTAGGTGAGGTGGGCCCAGGCACCCGCAGCCCGGTCGTCCCAGTGCCCGCCCCTTCCCATGAGGGTTTCCCGGGCACCTTCTCCTTTCATTCTCTGCCCCGCTGGGAAGTAAATGACTTTGGCCACCACCATCTCTCGGGCCTGGCAGGGACTGAGACCCTCCTGGTCGCAGTTGGATTAGGGTGGCCCTAGGGAGCGCTTCCGGACTGAAAGAGGCGCATTAACCATCCCTGAGCGTTTGGGAGCCCGGCTGCAAGGCCGGGTCTGCGGGTCCCCCTTGGAGGGATGGGGGTCCAGGAGGGGAAGTCATTCTGGCACATTCTTAAGGGGAGACATGACATTAGGAAATGTCTGGAAGGACTTTGGGGGGGGGGTGGTCATGTTTGAAGGGATGTGAAAGCAGGAGGGAGTCACTTTGGGCCTCTTCTTGGGGCGAGGCCGGACCCAGAACTCCATCCCGGCCTCTTTGAGGAGATTTTGAGGGCAGTGGGCCTGGGGCTGAGGCTCAGTGGCAGAGCATGAGGCACCAGCTTCGATCCTCAGCATCACATAAAATAAATGAATGGAATGGGGGTGTTGTGTCCATAAGTGGAGGGCCATGAAGAAGTGCGCATGCTCACACGCAGGAGTCTCTGAGCCTGACGTGGTGGGCACGGCTAGTGAGGGGACTCACTGGAGGGCACTGGGGGAGCAGGGAGAGAGAAACCTTGTCAGACATGCGGCGTTGGGGAGTCACTGAGGGCGACATTTGGGGGGTCACTAGCTCTGTGGGCACTACTCCCCTTCCGGTCCCACCCCCTTCATCTCCTGCCACCCTCATCCAAGGGCGGCCACTTGCTGCATGGAAGTCCCTGGATGGCATCTGTGGGCACAGCAGTCTGGGAGGGAAGGAGGTATATAGTAATGTGATGAGTGGGTGACCCAATGGTGCATGTGGGAGGAGCAGCTCTAGGTGGGCACCTGTGGCATGCAGCAACCACTTGTGCCTGACTGGAGGCACTGCGTGCGAGTATCTGGAGGTCAAGAGGCCGGCAGCAGGCTGCAGGGGGGTTTTTGAAAGGAGGTTGAGGGCAGTGGAGAGATCTGGTCAGTAGAGATCCTCTTGTGCTTATAGGGGCTCCAGGAAGAAGAGTGGCAGGTCACCACAATGGGTGAATGATGGGGACAGGGTGATGGAGCAGTCTTGACCTCCAAAGGGTAAGCAGGGAGTCCTAGGTCACCTGCTACCTGGTAAGGGGCTTTGGAGGGGACCTAGGACGGTGGGCACTTGCTGTTTTCTCGGACGTGGTCCATGGGCTAAAAGGTCCCTTGGCCAAGATCCATGCCTGGGGTAGGGACAGTAAGGTTCCCCAAGGGTCTCTTTGTGAGTGGGTTCTGGTTTTGTTGGGTTTTTTGTTTGTTTGGGGGGTTTTTTGGTACTGGCAATTGAACCCAGGGGCACTTAACCACTGAGCCGCATCCCCAGCCCTTTTTTATATTTTATTTAGAGACAGGGTCTCGCTGTGTTGCTTAGGGCCTTGCTAAGTTGCTGAGGCTGGCTTTGAATTCATATTCCTCCTGCTTCAGCCTCCCAAGCTGCTGGGATTAAAGGCATGTGCCCACAAGTGCCACGCACCAGGCTTGTGAGTGGGTTTGGGAGCATCATTGAAACAGTGTTCCTCCTGCTGGGAGGGGTGAGAGCGTTATAAGACCCTGTGGCCAGCACAGACCAGATCAGGACTCGTTGAGTCCCAGGAAGGTCTGGGAGTGTTTACGAATGGGGTGCATGAATGGGGTGCACGTAAGCCTTGGTGTGGGGGAGGGTGGGGCTTGCTGGGCCAGGGGAGCAGGCCCTTGCGCCATCATGTTCTGCAGCCCAGCAGGGACCCAGGTGTTGGTCCTCACTGGGAGGAGAAGATCCTCAAGGCTCTCCAGGTTCGGCTTTTTTCCCAGCATCCCTGGGCCTCAGGTCCCCATTCGTGCAGTGGAGAGCATCTTGGCCCTCCTCAGGCCCCTCTGAAGATGAGCTCACTGCGGGACATAGAAAGGGCCCCTGGAGGCTCCTGTGGGGCAGACTCGGGCAAACTGAAATAGAGGCACAGCTGGGCAGCAGGGCTTCGCCCGTCCTGGAGGGGCGTGTGGGTCCTAAAAGCTGGAGGTTGGGCATAAGGACAGCTGTCAGGGGCACTCTTTGGGTCATACCCACCTGGTTTCCCAGATGGCTGCTGGGCAGCCTCTGGTAAGCTGCTCTGCTCTCTGAGGCCGCCTCATCTCCATGAAGCAGCAGATAACAGGACATCAGGGCCTGGAGAGGGTGAGGGGCGGTGACTGCCCTTGTGGCCTGTCCAGGGCAGTCCATTTTGTTGGGATATTCAGGCCCCAGGAGGTCCCTGTGGTGACTGGGCCGTGTCAGGAGGGCCACAGGGAGAGGAAGGAGGGATCTGCACCGAGCAGCTCCTGCCAGCAGATGGGGAGGCCGTGCTGGGCTGCTGGGTGGTCAGGAGCCAGCGACAGTCTGCCCACCCACCACAGAGGGAGGCCCAGGGCAGCGGGCAAAGCTGCCCATGCCTGCGAGGCTCTGATGGGCGGCTGGGCCAGCCAGAATGGACTCTCCTTCCTCTTCATCGCCTGGCCCCCACCTGGCCCCCTTGAGCATAGGAGTCAGCATCAGGGGCAGGAGGCTGGGGAGACAGTGAAGATGGAAAAGCTGACCTGAGTGGTGGGGCCAAGTGGGCATGAGTGGCCCAGCTAGGTGCCAAGGACACACCTAGGCCGAAACCTCCAGTGTGGGGGGGTGTCCCAGGAGTGGCAGGAGGGAGGCTTTAGCAGCCTCAGAGCTGAGCCACTGCCTGGGAGGCCTAGGTGGAGGCCCAGGGCCCACAGGAGAGTGGAGGCTTTGATGGGAGTGGGAGCTGGACCCAGGCGCCAAGACCTGTAGGGGGCGCTGCTGTGGCATCTGAGCTGGTGGCATGAAGCCCTGAAGCAGCCCCACGACTCTTGAGGCCCCTGGTCCCACTCTTGTGTTCGCCTCATGGATGGTCCCATATCTGCTGGCCAGTGCCCCACTGAGGGCCAGTATGGGTGGCAGGGACCCCACAGCTGAGCCAGCACTGGTCAGGCTTTGAGAAAGGAGAGGCCTAGGGGCCAGGAGTGGGTGAGGATCCTCCAGCTCAGCCCTGGCACAGAGGGGTGGCCCCAGAGACAGAGTGCCCAGCAGGCCACCTGAACCCTGGAGCCTAAGGTTGGTCAGGGGCTGCTTCTCATCACTGAGGAGACCAAGATCGACTGGCCTCCTTCCCTTTGTCCCACAGGCCTGATTTGGTCAGTCTACAGTGTCACACACCGTCCCCCGGACTCCGTCCTCGAAGGAGTGGCTCGGGCTGGACGATATACATTTACCGCAGGTGAGCAGGGGGGTTCTCCTGGCTGCCCTAGTGCCCAGCTCTTGCCCTCGGTCTGGGAGCATCTTCTACAACCGCCACTTCTCCCTGGCTCCCAGCCCAGTCCACAGTCCGAACCGTCGGGAGACACAGGGTGCTCCTCCGTCAGGGACATGGGTTGTGGCAGGGGTCCCAGGGGCCAGCTGCAGTGCCAGGGCGGGAAGCTCCTGTGGGAAGCAGCCAGCTGGCAGGGAGCTTCCAGGAGTCTCTCGCCATGCCCCCTCTGGGCCTCCGACTGAGCACCTGCCCTCTGTGTGTCCCCGGCAGCCGCCATCGGGGCCGTGTTCGGCATCACCTCCTGCCTCAGCGCCCAGGTCCGCGGGAAGCCTGATGACCCCCTGAACTACTTCCTAGGCGGCTGTGCCGGAGGCCTGACCCTGGGAGCTCGTAGTGAGTACCCCACCCGCCCTGCGCCCCAGCACAGGACCCCTGCCCCAGCTGACCCTATTCTCTATTCTGACCCGGACAAGAGCCCAGGGAGCCAGGTGTGCAGAACACTGCCTGGGCACAGGGAGGTCACCACAGAGACACCTCTGGTCTCTCGGGCCAGCCAGCAGTGATAGGTGCTGCTGCGCAAGCCCACAGGGCCTCACACCGCCTGCCCCAACCCCTGCCTCCCTCCACCCTCTGCTCCAGCCACACAGTCTCCTCACTGTGGCCCCAACACACAAGGTTCAGTCCTGCCCTAGGGCCTTTGCACAGCTGCACTCTGCCTGGAATGTCATCCCCCCCAGACGTTAGTGTCGGTCCCCAATCACCATCCCAACAATCCTCTGTACAGTCCACCCCTGCTATTCCCACTCCACGTCCCGTCTGTCATGTCTTGTTAGAGGACACAGGTCACTAATTATCTCCACCATTGACCTGTGAGCAGCTTAGAGGAGATGTCCCTGCACTGCCCCCATGCCCCCCACAGCATCCAGGAACGTGCAGGCCCAGGGTCCACAGGGAGCTGCTCTCAGCCCACTGCACAGATACAGGAACTGGAGTCGGGGGCCTACCTGCAGCCAGCAGAGGCGGTGGCCCTGGGGGAGGCAGGCCAGCCCCGCGCAGCAGAGCCACCTGGCATAGGTCCAGTGCTGTTTCCTGCCCGTCCCCACTGCCCCAGCCCTGTGTGCCCTGCCTCAGGGTCACAGGAGGGGAAATGAGGCCACCGTGCCTGGCACCCGTTCTTGCCTGGCGTGTGGCAAGGGCTCTAGTAGTCGCCGCGTTTGTGTCAACACCATGGGGAGGACACTGGGAATGGTGGCCACACCTACAATCCCAGCGACTTGGCAGGCTCAGGCAGGAAGGTGCCAAGTTCTAGGCCAGCCTCAGCAACTTAGCAAGACCCTGTCTCAAAGAAAAAAATTAAAAGGGCTGGGGCGTGCTCAGTGGTTAAAGTGCCCCGGGTTCCATGTCCCAACACAGAGCCCAGCCCTGCCCCAGGCCAGCCTCCCTGAGTCCCAGCGGGTTTTGGTTGGCAGGACATGCCCCCTCCTCGGCCAGCCCCTGTGGCTTTGGGGTAAGCAGGGCACTTGCTGTTCAGCCACACACCTGTGATGCCGAGACACCCCACAGTGTCACTGCTGCCTAGTGTTTCCCAAGCCCAGAGCCTGGGTGGCACTGTGTCCCTGGAGCCCTTGGTGTGGAGCTCAGTGAGGACCCAGCCTGGACCTGCACCTGCTGGGGGTTGGGCTGCTGCCCCAGAGCAGCCCAGCTCTGGCTGGGCCCCCTGAAGCTCACGTCCAGCCCCCAGGCAGGTGGGGCCAAGGCGTCCTGGGCACAGTGTGCCTGATGTCACCTCCTCCTTGCAGCTCACAACTATGGGATTGCTGCTGCTGGATGCGTGTACATGGGCACGGCGGCCGCCCTGTTCAAGATGGGCCAGCTGGAGGGGTGGGAGCTGTTTGCAAAACCCAAGGTGTGAGCCCTGCTGCTCCCCAGATGCCAGGCAGGGCCAAATGTGCCCAGAAATAAATTCCACGTATGTGTGTGTACAAGTGTCCTGGGGGCTGAGCGGTGTCTCGCAGCCAGCAAGGGGGCTGGGCGGGTCCCGAGGCAGGAGGAAGGGAAATAAGGCTGGGCACAGGCCTCGGCCTGCGACCTGGCTCTGGGCTTGGGAGGGAGTGGAGATGGGAACCCCCACATGGTCCACCTACTGTCCTGGCTGTAGGTGTGTCCCTGCCAGGCCAAGGGCACCAGTCTGGCCTTGCAGAACTGGGGGGCGGGGGCATCACACTAGGGCCACAGGGAGCCAGGAGAGGAGGCTTGGCAGGGACGCACCTGTTGCCTCCCAGGACCCCAGGGAGTGGAAACCAGACCCAGCCGCCCACAGCCCTTCCTCAGCTCTGGCCACCACCCTGCAGGCCACGGGCCATCTCTCCAGGACACTCCCCAAAGTCAGCAGCATGTGGAAAACATGCTCGGGCCCCACACACAGCCCTCTCCAAACTCCTGGGCATCAGAGCGGAGAGCCCTGGACGGCCCTGCCCAGGACCCAGTGGCCTGGCCAGGTGAGGGGCTGGTGGCAGTGACACGGAAAGCACCAACATCTTTGCCAGCCCTGCTCACCAGCTGTCAGGCCGAGTGATTTAGGTGGCCCCGGAATGCTGGCGACGCCCGGCCCTGGCCCGCGGCTCCTTCCCCAGAACTGGCGTGGAGCTTCCTGGCAGGGAGGAGGCGCAGGCTCCAGCACGCCGGGAATCTCGGCTCTCCGGCCCCATCCAGGGGAGCGGGGGCCCTGCGCCTGGTGGCCAGGGACAGCAGGAATGGGCAGGGGGCCACAGCCCTCATCCGCTCCTGCGGGCCAGAGCTTTCCATCCACCTGGGGGGGGGGGGAAGCTATGGGGGGCTGTCCCCCTTGCCATGGCCACACCTATCCAGCGACTCCAGGTGCCTTCCTCAGCCCCTGCCCTGCTGGCCTCCCCACTGCCTCTTGCCCTCCCTGGACTTGTGTCCAGATGTCACAGAGTGCTGGCTCCCAGGGGACCAGACGCCAGCTTGGCTTGTGTCCAGGACTGGGTGCCTGAACCTGGGTTTGGGGCTCCCTGGGAAAGGATGGAGACACCCGGTGGGCAGAGAGGGACCAGGAACCTGTTCAGAAAGGGCTGGGTTCGAATCCCACCCTCGACTCCTGCTCCACCCTGGGCCAGGCCTCAGCCGGCACTTAGCCGCCTCCTTGGAGACCGCTCCCCTGCAGACCCATCCACCCCCCCTCGGCCCCGCACTGGCCTGGACTTCCCCACCACAGCCAGCAGGGGGCAGAGCTCGCCTCCGCTTGGCCGGAGGGGCAGCAAGGTCCCCTTAGCTCCACGATGGACAGTGAGGAGCGTCCTTTACCTTGTGTCCGCCTTGCTTGGCACCCACAGGGACAGGCTCCTTTCTAGAGAGCTCTGCCCAGGCCTCACCCACCTGCAGGCCCCTCCCCAGCCATCGTCTCAGGACCTGTCACAGGCGCCAGCCAAGACACAGGGCAGGGAAGAGGGGGACTTCCAAGGGGGAGCCCTGTCCCCCCTCCCAGCCTCAGATGCCCCCCTGTTTGGGGAGTGGTGGCCAGACCTGGGCTCTGCTCGCCGCCCACCCAGCCCTTTCTGGGCTGGCCGCCAGTTCCGGAGCGTGTCTGCCAGGCCCCCCAGAAGGGGGCAGGAGGGGGAGGTTGCTCATGGGGCTCCAGGGAACCCCAAAACCGAGGCCCCCTGGCCCATAAACATTTACAGGACTGTGAGGGGCTGACGTCATCCCTGCCCCCCACACAGGCCTCACGGGGAGGCCCTGTCTGGATACCCCGCTCCCCCCTTCCTGCAGAAGCCCCTGTTTGGGGCAGCAGGGAGCCCTCCAGAGACTGCTCCGAGCTGGACATAGCCCCTGGCTCCAGGTCACCAGGAGGGGGACATGCTGAGCAGCGGCCTCCCTGGGAGTCAAGGAGGGCTTCCTGGAAGGGGAGGGCATGAAAGGGAGACCCAAGGTGTGCCCAAGGGCAAGAGTCTCCGCGACAGGCAGAGCCAGTGAGCAGTTGGGGGCTTCTGGGCCAAGGACAGGTATTTGGGGCCCATGGGGTAAAGCGCACACTCCCCAGGAACCCATCCTGGGGACAGGTCCCCCACAGGGACGGGTGTGAGAGACTGTTGGCCCAGTCCCCCCAGATGCCACCAGGGCCTCTGAGCTCTCGTGAACAAAGATGGGAGCAGACAAGTGGGGAGGGGCACTCCAGGACCTGCACCCACAGGTGGGCGCTGCGGAGAGGAGCCCCAGGCCAGGGAGGGGGTCCCCCGCCCGCTGCTTGACTGGCTTTAGTTGTGGCTGGAAACTTGATGGTTGTCTTTGAAAGACTTCCAAGGGGCCTAGCCATCGCAAGCAAGATGGCCTCCACAGATGCCTTGGAAAGTTCCGTGAATCTAGGTGCAGTGGCGGGCATATGCCTGTCGTCCCAGTGGCTCAGGAGGCTGAGGCAGGAGGATGCCAAGTTCAAGGCCAGGCTCAGCAACTTACTGAGACCCTGTCTCAAAATTTAAAATAGAAAGGGCTGGTGGTGGCAGTGGGAGCAGCCCCGGGCTCAAGCCCAGTCCTGGGAAATGGTTCTGTTGACGCGGCCTAAGTGTCAGGGGGCCAGAGGCTGCTGAGAAGGCCTCCGAGGGCCGCTGACCTCCACTCCAAGAGCCCTGCCTTCAGAGTCTGCCCAGATGTGCCCCTTGCCAGCCCCCCTCATTCCACACTGGGAGCAGCAAAGCCACCCTGTTCTAGGGATCCCACCTCCGCATACATGTCCTGCCCACAGCAGCCAAAGGGCGTCTGGGAGCACCTGAGTCTCGTCCCTCCTGTGCCACAGCCCTCCACGCTTTCCCCAGCCTCCTCGCGCCCCACAAGGCCCGGCCCTCTGTCCCTGTGTAGTCAGCTCCCTCACTGTGACAAACACCTGAGGCCATCCACCGAGGGTTTGCTTAGTCCCAGACGCCCCTGGGCCTGGGCTGGGGGCAAACTGATGGGGGGGCGGGTTAGAGCTGAGTACCTACCTCAGGCAGAGAGAAAAGGCAAGGTCCCACACTCCCCTCTGAGGACATACCCCCAGTGACCTAGGGACCTCCCACTAGGCTTCACCTCCTAAAGGTCCACACCACCTCCCAGTAGCCCTGCGCTCCTCACTGCTCCTCCTCCTGGGCTCCATCCTGCCCCAGGGCCTTTGCACACATGGGTTCCCCAAAGGTCCCTACAGCTTCTCCCTCCTTACTTCCTTCAGTTCTCAGCTGAAACGTCACCTCTTCCCACCTGGTCAGCTGACTCCATGCCCCTTCACCTTCTCACGCTGCCCATGGCCCTTCACAGCTTCTGAATCTCCGTGGGCCAGTGTCTCCCTGAGGGCCAGGCTGGGCACACCCCTCAGAAGGGCTCAGAAATATGTGTGGCCTGAGTGAATGAGTCGCCAGGTGAGCAAAGGACAGGAGATTCACCTGGGGCCTGCAGCCTGCCTGCATCCTGCTTCCCCGTGGGGTGTGGACTGTGCTGGGCAGGAGGGAAGCCATCCACACTGGGTCTCAGGATCAGGACCTACATGACGAGTCCTGAGCAGCTGCCTGTGCCAGGCCTGGTCGCTGCTGGGGCCACGGAGCCGTGAGGGCTCCGCCCTTTCCTGAGCTCCAGGCCAGGGCTGGGGCCAGGAGTAACAGCAAGAAGAAGGATTGGCAGGCGAGCCTCACCCCTGGGGACCCGGGGACCTGGGGGCGCAGGAGGGGGCCACAGAGGGGAGGCTGGCAGGGCGCTGGAGTGCCCAAGTCAGCGGCAGCCACTGGCTGGCCACCTTCCCGGAGAAGCGCTTCCCTTGCCCTGGCAGCGCTGGCCCCCCCGGCACCCCAGACGGTGCTCAGCAGGGGCTCCCCGAGTGCCCGGCAGAGCAGGGGTGCACTGGAAGTAGAGGGGGCCGGGGGAGGGTAGGAGAGGGGCCGGGTGCCTCCGCCTGCTCGGCAGACCCCGTCTCAGCGCCCAGAGCCAGCCTAGTCATGGCTTTGAGGGACCAGGATCTGCTGTCCCCTTGTCCCGCCTGGCTGGACGTGGAGGCTGGAAACCTGGCATCTCCCGCTCGGTTCCCTGGTCACGGCTATGTTGGGGGGTCCTGCCCACGCCAGGGACACCCCCAGAGAACCACTTTGCCTTGGGACACCTCCAGTCACCACCTCCGCTCCGCGGTCCCCCTTGGAGTGGGCCCCCAGCCCGGCCACTGGTGCGCAGGGTCCTTTGTTGGAGCCAGTCAAGTTCGAGGCTGGGTGGTCTCGGCTGGAGCCTCCAGGGCTCAGCCAGGCCACTCCCGGCCTGTCCCCAGCCCAGCCCACGTCTCACTCCAGGAGCCGGAGAGGGAGGGGGTGAGTCAGGTGGGGGCAGGCCCTGGGGGCCCGTGCAGCCAGGCAGGGGCTGCGCAGGGCTGGCCTGGCCAGGCAGCTTTCGCCCTGCGGTCCCTTACTGTGCCCTTATTTCCACAGCCGTCTTTCTAAAATCTATTGTATACTTTATTTTTTCAACAGGTAAAACCAATTTGGGCCACAGAATTCAAAGGGTGCCCAAGGGTGTTGGGGTACATCTCAGCCACCCCACCGCCCACCACCTGCAGAGGCCCCCAGCGGTGTCCAGTTTCTCCTTTCAGGGAGACCAGACCCAAACACGCATGTCTGTTTATTTCTTTTCCCCAGAGACCGTATCACACTCGGGGCCTGAGGTGCTCTGTCTGCCCCTGTTAACAGCAGGGCTGGTTCCTTCCTTCTAACCAAGGGCTTCCCGCTCTTTTAGTGGCAGCATAATATTCCACCCTGTGGCACATCAGGGCAGAGTGTGCTTCCTTGTTCCAGTCTTCCGCTGCCGCCCATCAGGCATGCAAGAAGCCGCCTGGTGGGTGTCGTCGTGCCCATGGGGGACGGTGCCATGCCCTCCTGAAGAGCCTTCTTCCTTAGCAGACTTCCCTGTCTCGGAGCAGGTCTGGGTTTGCAGAGAATCCAGAGGCACGGAGGGGTGTCCGCAGCCCCCCCTCCGGCAGCTCCCCATCCTGCCTCAGGGGGGCCATCTGCCACAGCTGAGGAGCCAGTGCCACACGTTATCATTAGCTCAAGTCCCCAGTGTGACCCCAGGGTCCCCTCGGAGGACGCGCAGAGAGTCTGCTGCCCGAAATCCCCTGGCTGGCGGCGCCGCCCCTTCTGACCGCACCGGCTGCCTCCCCCTGGGGACTCTGGGGCAGCCTCCGCTCTGCGGCCTGCGGGCTCCTTTCTGTGGTGCCAACAGCCCGTGCCATCCACCCAGAAGCGGAGGTGCTGCTTCCGTCTGGGCTACCATAAACACCGCGCAGGGTTTTGTGTGACATCAATTTTCTGCTCCTGCGGGTGACCTGAGGGCCGAGCTTCCGGGTGGTGGCAGAGAGAGGGTTTGGTTTGGTAACCCGCTGCCAGGCTGCCGCTCGGAGTGGCCGCACCTTCGGCATCACCACCAGCAGTGGCCGGAGTTCCTGTAGCTCCACGTCCTCCCCAGACCTGGAGTGGGCACTGTTTTGGATTTGGGCCACTCTAACAGGTGCACAGTGGGATCTTGCCTTAATTTGCCTGATTTTTAAGTAAACATTTGTTGATCTGCGTCCTGGGTGCCAAGCACAGGTCCAGGGCCTTCTGTACCACGTGACTTCTTTGCCATCTCAGTGCCTTTTGGGCTGGAAGAGAGGCATTAGTATCCATTTTACAGATGAGACAAACAGGGCTGAGAGAGGGATATTCACTTATCCAAGGTCACACAGCAGACAGAGGTGGAGCTAGGGCGTCTGGCTGACACGGGAACACTTCTGCCTGCTGGGTGCTGGGCCCTGTGCTGGCCACTAGGACACAGTGATGGCGGAGACAGTCCTGGTCCACTCTCCTGAGGCTCACAGTCCAGTGACCAGGCTGAGCAAGGCTGTGAAGGGGTCCCACAGCAAGAGGGGTCAGTCTGGGTGTCCACGAGACTTCCTGGGGAACGGGGGATAAAGCCTGAGTGGGAGTTTGCCCAGGGGAGGAAGAGGACGGAGGCGGCTCAGCAGAGAACGGGAGGGCCAGGGGCTCAGAGGTAGGTCCTCGCACGGTCACCAGGCCCCTCTTTGGGCTGAGCCCCGTGGCCCCTAGAAGGCTCCCGTGCACCGCGCCTGTCCCACCTGCCACCTGGGGAGCTGGGCACCGCCCTGCCCCTCCCCGGACGGGGCAGCCAGGAGGGCTGGAGCAGCCCCCTGCATCTGAGGTCATCGGCTCAGGACAACCCTGTCCCAGTGGGCATGGGTCAGGTAAGGCCTCCAGAGGTGCTGTCCCCAATTGTCACTTCCAGGAGAAAGGAAATGGCAGGCTGGGGAGGGGAGGTCTGCTCTGCGCTGTGCCCCAGATTGGACCCTGCCGGCCCCTCCCGCCTCGCTGCTCTCTGCCCCCCACGCGAGGCCACCCTGCGGGGCCCCAGGTGCACAGCCCACTCTGTCCAGCGACCGCATGAACAGTGAAGAGCCAGGACGGGGCCGAAGTAGCTGCAGCCCTGGCGGGGTGGGGGAGGCCCGACCCCGCGGCCCCTCCTGGCTGGTCCCCCCCAGTCACCCGGGGCCCACGTGCCTCCCCCACCCCCGTTTCAGCACCTGCCCTCGCGGGGACCGTCCCCACAGCCAAGGGATCCGACCTACAAACAGTCAGGGGCCAGCTCAGCTGGACTGTAAATGAAGGCTCCGTCTGTCCGCCTGCTGGGGACGCTGAGAGCCCTGCCCGGCGAGTCCCAGAGCACAGCCGCTGGTTACCACCGACCCTCAGAGGGCCCCGGGGAGCGGGACCCGGCTGACGTGTGCCCCCCATTTAGCTGCTGGACCTTGGGGCTCCTGGGGAGGCCACATCCCTGCCGCTGGATCTCACGTCTTCATGCTCGGCCACCTGTGCGCCTGGGCAGCTCCTTGGCCTTCCTGGGCCCAGGCCAGGGTCTTTCGGGTCCCTGGCAGGTCGCGAGGCCAGCAGGCGTTTCTTGGGAAGTTGGTCAGAAAAACCAGTCGCTGACATGCTGAGGGGACGGCGAGAGGGTCCCCCGCCCGCTCACTACGTGCCCGTCACCTCCCTGCGGGAGCCTGGAGGGCAGCGTCCGGGGTGGCCGTCCCAGCTCTGCCCCCTGAGCCGTGACTCGGCCAGTGGCTTTCTCTGAGCCTCGGCTCTGTCACCTGTGAAATGGGGGTGAGGGCACTGCCACAAGAGTGCGGCCCCAGGTCACTGGGCCGGTGCCTGCCGCCTCCCGAGCGCCCACGGACGAGGGCGCCCAGCCTCCCCCCTGGCCGGGGAGGGGCTGAGCGGGAACGGAGGCTAATTTTAGCCCTGATGACACCCCTGGCCGCCTGCCTTGTCCAAACATCCCCAGCCAAGCCCGAGGTTCAGAGCGGCCCCCTCCCGCCGCCCTGACTTCCAAGGGGCCTCCTCGGCCAGAGCATTCCTTGCCTGCCCGCGCCTGCCTCAGGCCTCTATCCAGGGCCCGCGGACGCCGCCCCGTGTCGCCCTGGGTGGGGACACCTCACCTGGAGGTGTCTGTGAGGCAGGCCGTGACCTGGCACGGGGTCCACAGCGCCCCCCGGGCCTTCCTGCCGCCCAGCCCGCATCCCCGCGGCCCCGCACTGCCCTTTATGTGGCACCCACTGGGTGCCGGGACCCCTGGAGCCCAGGCCTGCGCCCCCTGAGCCTGACCCGGGCAGGCAGCGCGCAGGCGGATCGGCTGCTGGCTCCTCCTCACCGAGTGTGGCCCCCGGGTCGTCGGCCTGCGCTGCAGGAACAGAGCCCTCCGGTGGACATCCTGGTGGGGGAGACAGGCCGGGGACAATAGGCCGATACGCCTGGTTTATGAGTTGGGCAAATAATTCCAGGTGCCGTCTGTCCCTTTGTTCTTGTGTTTGTTTTGTTTGCACAGTTGGGGATGGAGCCCAGACCTTCACACATGCTAGGCAAGCGCCTGCCGCTGAGCCGCACCCGGCCCGTGCCAGTGCTAGGCAGTACTGACTGCTGGGGAGCCAGCTAAAGCCAGGGTGGGCAGAGGCATGCTGGGGGGACACCCTCTGAATTAAAATGATGCCAGAGGGGGACATTGAGGGAGCCATCTGGGCAGTGGGGGCACAAGGGCTCTAGGGAGTACATGCAAAGGTCCTGGGGCATAAACCATAGGGGCACAGGCAGAGATGCCTCGGGATCCATGATTGTGCATCTGAGGTCACTGGAGGCTTGGGAGGAACTGGAGCTGAGGATGGGCAATTTGCGGCCTGAAATTTCCACATCTGGCTCCAAGATCAAGTCCCCAGCACTCTCACCCTGCAGAACAGGGCTGCAGCTGCCTGGGAGCTGAGTGGTTGCAGGTGGGTTTCAACTGTAAATGAGGGCTTCCGGAACATTCTGAGAGCCTGGATAGGGGAAATTGCCACTCTCCAGAGAACTATAATGGGACAGAGCTGGCGGGGGCACATTCAGGACGCCCTCTGCACATGGCATCTCCAGATGCTCCCCACGGGGCCAAGCCTGGAGACCTCGTCACCAACACTCCTGGCTCTATTTTTTGTTTTTTGCTGGTGGAGTGACAGGTGTCTCAGAAGACTTGAAAACATCCCCCCAAATCACACGGAAAAAAAGATCCTTTTTAACCTCTTTTTCCCTACAGCTATTTTCTTTCTCACAGAATCCCTTCCCTGGTTTTTCTGATCCTCCCCGTCACATGCTCCCCAAAACCTTTCCAGAAAGAGAGAAAGGCCCTTTGTCCTGCGGCTCCCTGGAATCCTCTCCCAGCACCTACACGCTATTGTTTTTTCTCACACCGTTTTGCAATGGGCTTTTTTTCCAGTCGACAAAAGATGGCCCCACAGCTTTTATTTACAGAAATTGGAAAATGAAGCGTGTCCAGCCCCCGCCTCTTCACCCACCCGCTGAAATTCAAGCCGCCTGAACCCAGCGCGGCTGGGGTGCCAGGGGCAGGCAGACCCTGACGTGCCAGGGGCCCGGGGTGAGGAAAGGCCGGGGGCGGGTGGCAGGGGATGCCAGCTTTCTGTCACCTTGGGCGTCCCTGCTCCCCTCCGCTCAGCAGCCCCCACACCACTTGAAGAGCAGGGGAGGCCAGAGAGAGCCAGGGACTCAGACCTGTGGGCTCCTGGCCCCTGCCCACAATCTGCCCTGCAGAGAGGGTAGGCAAAGACCCTCACGAAGCCGGTGTTGGTTCCATCTTGCTTGCAAGAAGCCCGGAGAAGTGCAGGGACTCGGGGGAGGTCACACAGTTGCCGGAGATCAAAGTCTGTTCCAAAGCTCTTAGGGTCCAGAGTTCTGAGGTCAGACGGGCCCTGGCTCCAGCCCACCTCCACCTCCACTCCATCCCTCCACCCAGGGCTGCAGGTGAATCAGGACTGTAAAGGAGGACTTCCGGAACATTCTGGAACATTCTGGGCCTGGGGAATTGCCGAGGGAGACAGGGCTGGGGGCGGGTGGCAGAGTTCCAGATGCTCTCTGAGCCTCTTCTCCCATCTTCCCGATAGGTCCTCAGGGAGGACCGCAAAGCCTTCAGTGGGCTGGGCGGGAGGATGGACGGGGCTCTGGGCAGGTGAGGGCCCGGGGCTGCAGTGCCTCAGCCCACAGCTGGTGGCCCCGTAAGCCAGCCTCACCGGCTGTGGCTCCCGCTACCCCACCACCCACACCACACACCTGGGGCCCCTCTCCCCTCCACCTGGCTGCGAGGGTGGGGAGGTGCCTGGAGGCCAGGCCTGGGCTTCCTCCCAGGCTGGGCAGGGCTGCACCCAGGTTGGCAGTGCATGGAGCAGGGCACCGATGCTGCCCCCCAAAGCCCCGGGGGCTCTGTGGTCACTGCCTCCACCTGGACCGGTGTCTGAGGACCCAGCATCTCCCTCTTACCCAACTTCTCTTTAACTCCCTCCATCTGGAATTTTCTGAAGCGTGGAAGACCTTGGCCACCCGCTGTGGGTCCCACAAAGGCAGGCTCCCTGCCCTGCCACCAGGGCATCCCCAGTGTGCCCCCCAGGCCTAAGCATCGTCCCCAAGCCCCACTGCCCTGCCCTGCCCCAGGTGCACAGGTGGAATACGGCCCCCAGCCGGCCGGGGTCCCCTCCCCTCCTCCTGAGCCGCCCGTCCCCCTCGGCTGGTAGCCCAAGGCCCAGGGGATGGACGTTCCAGCAGGCTGGGACTCCACTGCCCACCTCCCCAGGCCAAAGGAGGCACTGGGGGTCTAAGGAGGGCAGAGACCCCAGAAAGGGGGTGCACTTGGACTTGCCTCATCCTGAAAGCCAGTCCTCGCTCGTCCTGAGTCTGAGAGAGATGTCCTGGTCCCTCCGTCTGGGCCCTGGCCCTGTCCTCTGCCAGATAAGCTTGCCTTAGAACCTTGCCCAGAAAGGCCCAGGACACCTCTCCCGACACACAGCGCGTTCAGGGGGAGCTCCAGTTCCCCGGGGGGCTTGGGTGGGGACTCCTCAGACCCCAAAGGCTGGGACCCAGTAGGCAGCGGCATTCCAAGGCCAGGCAGCCTGATCCGAATGCCACCTACACCCACCCTGCTTCCCAGCTTGTGACCAGGGCTCAGGAGAGGCAATGGCACAGGAAGGTCCCCCAGAATTGGCCCAGGACACAAGCCAGAGGAAAAAGCACGTGAGGCAGGGGCCACAGGCTGCGGGTCTGGGAGGCCGCGCCACGGGCTGGCTGTGCAGCTGGGGTTGGCTCCGGCAAGTCGGCCACCACCATGGAGGCTGTTGGTGGTTTGGGTGGGAGGACCTGAGACCCCACCTGTTTCCAGCCCTGTCCAAGGAGCGTGTGTTGTCTCAGTTGTCACCGTGGAGTGACAGGATGGCTGAGAGGGCAATATGGGCAGAATCAGAGATCCCAATGCTCCCAGAACCCAGTTACCAGCGACCCAAATCTCTGCAATTGGGGCTCTGCTGGGTGTGGAGCCCAGCCTGGGTTGGGGGCTCAGATTGGGTGGGTGCTTAGTTGGGGCTCAGGGCTCCTCCCAGGATCAAGGCAGGGCTGGCTGTGGCAGCCAACCTGGGAGCACGATCCCTGTGCAGCAGGTCCTCAGCCTCCGTGCCCCGCGGGGCTGAGCCAGGTGCTGCGGGCCTGCGGGAGGCTGGGCAGGGTTAGGGGCTGGAACACGGAAAATCGCTGTCAGACCCCAGGCCTGGCTGCTCCTGCCCCAGCCCACGCCTACCCGGGGCCTGGCGACGGATGGATGGATGTTGCTCCAGGGGACTCCAGGGGCTCGGGGTCCTGAGCGCAGGTGTGGGGACCCCCCAAGACCGCACCATCTGGCCGCAGGACAGAGAGCGGATCTGAACCGCAGCGCAGGAGGCAGGCACGGGGGAGGCGGGCCCTCGGCTCCCGTCCGGGCCTGCCCCGGGCTCCCAGGCAGAGACCTGCCGGCACCCTCCTGGCCTGGCCCAGGACAGGTGGAGCTCCCCGTGGCGCCTCGGCGGTGTCTGGAGGTGGCGCTGAGCACAGGGGAGGGCCACGCTGCCCGGACCCCGCTCGGTGGGGAGCTCATTCCTGCCGACAGCTGCCATGGAGCCCGCAGGAGCCCCGCAACGCTCAGAGTGGGGAGTGGGAGTTCCGCACGAGCAGACCCTCGCCCCGCGTTCAGGTGCCAAAGGCAGCGCCTTGGCTGTCAGAAACACGGAGGCCGCAGACTCCCAACCGGCGCTGGGCAGCCGGTGGCCAGCCGTCCACTCCCCAGGGCGGGCGGCGAACCTGCGGCCACAGTGCGCCTGCTCAGAGCCCAGCCCGGCGCCGCCCCTTCCCTGATTGGAGGAGCTCGGGCCACCGGCTATGCGATTGGCTAATCTTAAGATTGGGGCGGGGCGGGGCCTGTAGCTCAGGGGCAGACACGTGCGTAGCGGAGCCGTGCGAGGTGCTGGCTGGGTCCTTCCCATCACAGACATCATCATCATCATCATCATCATCATCAAAAGTTAAAGAAATAAAATAAAGGCACGCTGTCCTTCTATAACTACAAAAAAAGTTTTAAAGTGGGCGGGCAAAGGGAAGGGCTGTGGGGAGGCATTCTCACACGTGATTGGGCACCTCCGGGATTGGGTGTGAGGGGCTCTGGCCAAACTGCGACCGAGCTTTCCCCACCCTCTCCAGGTGCCAGAGCCTGTCCCTGCCCGGGTGTGACTGACCACTGGCCCTGAGGCCAATCACTGACCCTGACCTTGGAATGCTGCCCCCCTCGACCTTCATTGGATGGAATTTTCCCCTGAATTTCTTGTTCCCCAATAAAAGGCCACTCCCTGGCGTGCTCTCCCTCTCTCCTGCTAGCCCTGAGTAAGCCTTGCTGCCCCACCGGGTGGTTGGAGGCGAGAGCCATCTCGGACCTGGTCATAGAAAAAGGTAACTGAGTCTGTGTGTTTTATTTTGATCTCACTAGTTAACTTTTATGCCACGAACCTCTTTAATGAAACCAGTGTGCTGGTCGCCTGGTGGAAAGGGCTATAGCTAAAACGGCTAGGATGGGATCCAGTCCAGGCTGGACGCTGGATTCGGAAGCCGGACACTGATTTTCTGTTTTTCCAAACCCTCCCTTCTTCCTCTTATGCTTTAATTCCATTTTATCGTGCCCTTTGGGGTTGCCATCCTTCCTGGATATTCGAACTTTCTGAGGTGGAAATCTCCCGTGGTAATGGGTTCTTCCCTTTAGCACTCGGATGGCCACCCCGTGGTCAGGAGCACTGGGTCAGGTCCTTTCCCCTCAGTGAAGCTGCCTCCTCTCTAGGACTTGGTGAAAACCACGTGCTGGGCTGGGAGTGGAGAAGGGCAGAGTGCAGAGGAGGAGTCCAGCTCACAGGAATCACAGGGGTGGGGTGGGGGCGCAGGGGGTCTCGAGTTCCCTCAGAACAGACCTGTTACTGACGGCTCTGGGCGAGGCTTATCAGGAACCCCTGTGAAACCCCTTCCCTTGTGACCACCCCATTTTGCTTACTTTGGGGAGGACTGTCACAAACGTACATCTCTAGTTACTCTAAAGGACTATTGTGGGGGCTGGGGCTGGGCTCAGCGGTAGCACACTGCCTGGCCTGTGTGAGGCACTGGGTTCGAGTCTCAGCACTGCATATAAACAAATAAAAGTCTATCAACAACCAATTTTTTTTAAGGACCCTTGTCTTTTCTTTTAAATGCCCAGGTATGGCTGTACTTTGGTTATGCTCTCCTCCTGCCAGGTGTCCGAGACCAAGTGGGTCCAACTTGATCTTTTTTCTATCTGTTGTTAAGAGTCAGCTGAGCCGCCTCAGAGATCACACTTGGAAATGAGTGAGAAGCCCCTTGGCTCCCTTAGCTTTCCTCTACCAGTTGTGCCACCTGCCTGGATGGGTCAAGGTCTTGCTGACCACACGTGGCTTCCCTTGGAAGCATCAGGGACATTTCCCTCTCCAGCGACCTTCCTCTCTGCAGAATGTGCACTGATTGCCTTCCTGTTCTCCAGGGTCCTTTCAATCCTCCTAATCGGAAGGTCAGGTGGCTCACCAGAGATGTAGGGCCTTTAGAGGGGTCCTGTCCTTCCTTGGGTCCTGGCTGACCTTAGAGGACAAGGGCCAAAATACTAGCTACTCTTTCCTTGGCCCTTTTACTTCCTTGTCTTTGGTTTCCAAGTTTTTGTTTTAAACATCCAGCAAGCCAGTTAAACCAGTCACTTTAGGGCTATAATTTTATAGTTACCCTCCCATTTAACTGGGGTTAATATTAGTACTGGAAGTCAGCCTTACATCCTGTTCTGTTCTGCAGGTGAAGATTACTATCTCAAGTTAACTGTTGCTCTGGGATAAAGGGCAAAACTTATAAAGGTCTACAAGGAAGATACAAAAGGAAATCAACAAAACCAAAAACATTCTATCTGCATAATAGCTTTGAACCAAAAAACATAATCTATAATAACACTAATATATCTTTGGTATCTATTTTGTCTCCACAAAGATTCAGAAATTTATCAACTCTATCACATATGAGAGCCTTTATAAACTTGACTTTCTTTTAAAACTCTCTTACAATCATATAGACCTTTTATAATTCTTCCAAACCTTTACTTAGTTTTGTATTATATCTCTTCATTACTTTGAGATGACAGTCATCTTTACAACAACAACAACAACAACAACAAATCTATCGTTCGTTTTTGTTTTGTGCTGGGGATTGAACCCAGGGTCGTCTTGTGCATGTAAGGCAAGCACTCAACCAACTGAGCTATATCCCCAGCCCTGGTAACAAACCTATCTTTTTCCAGGCCTGTAATCCCAGCAGCTTGGGAGGCTGAGGCAGGAGAATCACGAGTTTAAACCCAGCCTCAGCAAAAGCGAGGCACTAAGCAACTCAGTGAGACCCTGTCTCTAAATAAAATACAAAATAGGGCTGGGGATGTGGCTCAGTGGTCGAGTGCCCCTGGGTTCAATCCCCAGTACCAAAAATTAAAAAAATAATAATAATAATTAAGTCTCTTTCAAATATAACTTAAAATGAGCTAAGTTCAGCCTACTTCGGAGCCATCCTGACATGGAGTGGGTGAGAGGCAGGCTTTCCTCAGGCCAGCTCCTGTTAAACAACCCAACACGA